TCCCTCTCTCTCCCTCTCTCAGAATTGTTTCAAATTTCATTCTGTAATTTTACCAAAATAAGATTTCGCAGGAACTTTTCGATAATATTTCAGTTATATCTCAGAAAGGTTACAGACATATGTCAGTTAACCATTCGGAAATTTTTCTAAAAGGTTTCATTTAAAAGAATCGCGGACATTTTGATATTGCAGAGACATCTCAAAGATGTTGCAGAAACATTTTGCAATGTTTCTGAAATATTTCAATTTCACGTGAAACATTTCTGAAATATCTCTGAAAGATTGTTGTGCTGTATGGGAAGTAAAATATCCGCGGAAACTAAGTTTAGCACCATTATTATTTTTATATAGAGTCCTTTATTTTTCATTTTATTTATTTTAAATATAAAGTTATTTATATTTACCTATAATAAATTCCTAAGGTATTATTTTAGAGTCTCAAGGGTGGCGTTACCCCTTAAGATTCTCTTAGAGTACAAGACTCTCTTAACATATAAGATTCAAGCTTTAATTCAAGCCCTATTAAAAGTCTCTAACATGTCAAGTTCACTTGCAATATTGTTTCAAAAATAGCAAAAAGTGTATTTTTGACACATTTGAACGCAATTTTCTCAAAAACCTAATGTAATGTACAAATTTTGCTTTCTAATTTGGATTTATGAATATGAATGAAATGTAATGAAAAATTATGAATGTATAAAAATTATAAATGTGAGAAAAATGTGTAGTCACATCGCTAATGATTTTTTTTTTTGTTGATCAGTGCGCTCTATTAACAAAAAAGAATTATATTTCTGCACTTGCTTTATTTCATGAATTTTGTTATGCAAAATGGATTCTTTTTAATTCACCTGTCTTTCTTCGCGGAACTAGCACTCCATAGTATCGTTTACTTATCGATTTCAAGACTTAACAATGTTTCCGGTTGGGTCCATATATAGCCTGTGCGTGTCATGCTACAATGGGCGTCATAATATCTTCCTGGCGCACGGCAATAGGACCATCTCGGGCAGCGACACCGAAACATACTGTGGAATTCTTCCTTGCACACTTCGTTCCACCAGCAAGTCCTCTGAGAAACGTCAAAAAATTCATTTTGTTTAAAAAATTTAAAAATAAATCTATTATTTAAGAATAATTTGTAGTAAGGCTCAATAAATTAAAAATATAAGAAAGAATAAGGCTACGAGCCAAATGTCATCAACAGTTAAGTAAAAATTTTTCTATTTAATTAAAATATATAAAACATTGAGATGTCATTAATTTAAAACATATTTAATGTAAAAGACAAAGAACAAAAGAACAACAACAAACGTTTCGACCCCTATCGGGTCATTTTCAATGTTCGAAAATAAGTAACGGTAAAAATAAAGTGATAAATTAATACAATTTTTGACATTAAAAAACATTTTCTCAGTCGCAAAATATCTAATTAATTAACGCTATTAATGTTATCGTCCGCAAACAATAAAGTGGTGTAATGATGTGGTAAGTTAATCTTATACCGCGTAATCATAGTTTCTGTTAAAAACAAACGTGTAATATAAAAATGTGATAAAAGTAACTGAGATATAAAAATTATATAATGAACGACTATTAAAAAATATATATATATATGTACCTTAAATTATGTTGATCCAAACAATTATTAAGTTGTTTTATTTTATAGAGACAATGCGATGAGAGAGAAGTATAATTTTTAATAACATGACTCTAAGATGTTCAGATTCAAAATGTTAGACATTCTAGGTGAATAATGGTAAAGGAAAGGGAAACAATTCTCAAGAGAGGGTAAAAAGGATTTGGTAAAGAGAGTGGGAGAGCATAAGATGTAAGGAGAGGAAATCTTTAAGAAGGAGAAAGAGAAGGTATAATTTGTGAATAATTTTCTGGTAACGATTCGGTCTCATTATGTTTATTTAGGCCCTGTCTTTGTTTTTTAATGTAAATTATTTCAGACATTAATCTCTTGTTGTATGAAGATTCAATGTCCAAAATCTCAACATCATTCCACTTAAAATTGTGAACAAATTTAATACGATGATCGGATATGACTGAGGGAGAGCCTGTCTTTTTCTTGATGTCAGAAACATGTTCATGTACTCTCGTACTTAATTTTCTCTTAGTCTGACCAACATAACTGGCTTCACAGTCATTACAAGAAATTTTGTAGATTACATTTTGATTAGACATTAATTCTAACTTATTTTTACCTCTTTTAATAAAGGTTTTTAAAGTGTTAGAAATTGAGAAGGCTAATTTACAATGAAACATACTGGAAATAGGAAGGAAACTTTCAGAAATGGATTTGACATAAGGAATTGTGAAATATTTGTCATTAGAGTGGATATGATTTAAGATCTATTATTTAAGAATTTTTTATCGTATAATAAAATTTGTGCGTTACAATGTAAAATTCAAATAAATAAAGAAACTATATTAAAAAATATATTTAAAAATTTACATAGAAATACAGTAATATTATTAGGCATCAAGATTTAGTCTTAACCGTATTTCACTCAACCTTTACTTATTTGATTTAGTTGAATAACAGTATAGTTTAATTTATCATTGTACTCTAAATACTTATATAATAATTACCTACCTCGGCTAGATAGCCTCTTACACTTTGGTCACTGTAATTTCTCTTGATAATTATATGCCTTGCGTTCGCCGAATATACTCTCGTACATAATGCAAGTATCAATAAAAAACATAACGTAGTTCTATCCTGAAACAGAATAACATATAATTGATGCTGTATATGTGTAAAGTTAAACGTGTAAAAAGTTAACACATTCTTTATTCTGAAAATAAGATACTAAATTTTCATTAATTTCTGCCAAAATTTATTGATTTTTTTAGAAATTTAATTTATATTTTTACCCATCATTTTTAAATTTGTCGAAATTTATAAGTAAATAAACCTTGCCATTTCTTAAAGTGATTTAAACTTGTATTTCTTTAATAACAAAAAGGTTTTGAACTTCTTTAGATTTTATAAATTTCTTTGGAAATATACGAACACAAAAAATCCTAAAAATATATATTTCAAAATTCACATATATAAGGTATTCTAAAAAAGATATTGACAATATACTTTAAGGTATTCAAATTTGTATTTAAAAAACAAATAAGTTTTAAAGAAAAGAATTTCTGAAAAATTCTAAACTTTATATAGAAATTATAAAAAATTACATATATAAAGAAATAAAAAAAAATGTCTGCTGGGATTATTGCTACATTATAAATGTTGAGAGAATTCGATGATTTTATATAATATATTTTTGCACGCACTCACATTTTTCCTCATAACTGCCTCGTCTCGCGACAATTTTATTCTTGATTCTAGATTACATACAAAAAATGCAGAAAGGGTGGCGAACCCACGCGAGCTGCATTTGCCCGTCGTAATATTACTCGCGAAACATTATCCCTATGCGATGCAGTTCCTGTGAGAAGGAGCAAATGACATTGGGCATGCGTACGTACATACGTCCCAGTATTCACTGATATAAGGATTCCGCGCTCGCTCTCTCTCTCTCTCTCTCTCTCTCTCTCTCTCTCTCTCTCT